AACACGTTGATCACCATCCCCAAGACTACTGAGGCGAAGGATAACACGTTGATCACCATCCCCAAGACTACTGAGGCGAAGGATAACACGTTGATCACCATCCCCAAGACTACTCAGGCGAAGGATGATAAGCTGGTTACGTTCTCTGTAACTACGAGCGAAGCGCAGACGACTTCGTCAGCTTCAAGACACGTTCGTCCCGTGGAGCCGACACTGACCATTCCTGCATCCGAATGTTCTAGCCCCACTGATCCTTGCCGTACTACCACGGAGTCGTGCGGGGAGAAGGACCAATGCGGATGCAAAAATGGCTGTGAGGGCAAACATGGTATTGAGTTAAGAATTCATGACCAGCCGAAAATGGTCAGAATTGCGGTTGACAACTAGGAAGGGACTTCTCGGGGACTTCTTTTTCGTGTGTACTAACTGGTGGTATACATCGCGGTAGCGAATGAAAAGTTTGGGATCGGGACATTTGTAGCAATCGGTCATGAAATGCTCGACCGGAGAGGGTGGTCCAGGAGTGGTGGTGGGAGGAGTGTTTTGATTAAAACTGGAGGGAGACTGTCGCTGGTGCTATTACAGATGTCGGATTGAACAAGCGCAAAAGATGTGGAGTCAAGTTCTATTAGTATTAGGGGCCGTGTGGGCTACTGACGTGTGTATTTCTATTGACGTTTCCGGAGTCGGTTGTTCGACGTGCAAGTTGAGTGAGGACGGTTTCAGTCAGACGTGTTATCGCGGAGAGAAGTGGCTTACATGTTACAGGTCCATAGAGCAGTGTTGTGACGACCCGACAGTAAGTGTTCCTACCGAGGAGTGCGTTGCCAGGTTTGTGGGTTCAACATGTAGCAGGTATGTTTCAAGAGATGCAACTCGGACAAACGCGGAGTGCCAAGACCAGTGCAGAAAGATCGAGGCAGCCGGGGGCGACTTGGAGGAGCTGGAGGGTCAGTGCATGTACGAGCATTTCGAGGTGGACGAGGAGTTCAACGTTTCTACTTCTGAAGGGAGCTGCTTCAATAACTGGGTGCACGGTTACGCCGACTTGGCGGGGGAACCGCTTCTCGTAGCAGGCTACGATTACGTTGACGATGTCGAAACTCCGGCACTATGTCAGGCATTGTGCCAAGAGGACAGCAAGTGCGTACGATTCCTCTGGTCTTCAGATCGGGTGGGCGCAGGCGAAAACGACCGAGCCAGGCGTTGTCACAAGAAAATGAAAGATCAAATTACCATCCCAGTATCCATTATCTATACGGAGGACAAAAATCCGAGGACATACGAGGAGATGTACTGTGACACTAAAGTTGCACACATGTGCTGGACTGGGACTACTGACTGTGCGCCCTGTACTGATCAACAAAATCACTGCGTCTGGAAGAGCCCGAAGCACATCTCCGGCTGGAAATATTGCCCTGACACGGACACCTGTCAGTTGCGGGATTATCCAGACCTCACATACACCACCACTCTGGCTCCTCCGACAACCACCACCTACACCGAAGTCGCTACCATCACCACCGCGGCGTCGACCATCATGACGACGACCCTCCAGAAGACGACTGAGGCTAAGGATAACACCCGAATTACGGTAGCGAAGACAACTCAGGCTAAGGATGATACCCTGATCACGGTACCCGAGACAACTCAGGCTAAGGATAACACTCGAATTACGATAGCGAAGACAACTCAGGCTAAGGATGATACCCTGATCACGGTGCCCAAGACAACTCAGGCTAAGGATAACACCCGAATTACGATAGTGAAGACAACTCAGGCTAAGGATGATACCCTGATCACGGTGCCCAAGACAACTCA